TTCTTGGGGCTCTCCCTCCATGTCTTCATTATCCCACCAAAGGAATCTTAAGAAGTCTCTTTCTTCAGGAGGAACAACAAACGGATGGAACATTTTTTCTATATCGCATGTTACTGCGACAGTCTCCTTCCTGAATCTACACAAAACTCCAATTAAGGAATTAATTAAGTCTGGGCCAGTGAGAAGCATATCATTAAGAGAGACACCATGAAACTTTGCAGAGCAGTCAAAGACCACTCCTAATTTGCCTGGTTTATGAGCATGATAAATGCCATGGTGAGGTATATACCACACCGTTTCTCCATCAGGTATTGTAGGGGCTGGTTCTGCATGCCCCACCTCAAACATCTCTTTCATGAAACCTCTGTAACTAGCATAATACTGTGGATTAATTTTCAGCTTCCTTTTCAGATGTTGCAATCGTGCAAGGGCAAGTTTCTTGTTGTTAGGTAGTAAAGGAGGGTCATTACTCTTGAAGGGAAGAGGCAGCTGATAATGTCCATCATCATTCTGCTTGACATTTTCACTAAGAATTTGTATGAATTGGAAATCTTCTTGGGATACATGTTTTTCATCCGGACATCTCTCATTAAAATCAGACTCCAATATCCTCAAGATCTTGTTTGCCGATGGAACCAATAACTCCTTCACTGAAACTCTGTGAACAAACCTTTGGCTACCTGGTCTATCCAAATGGGGATTACAAAGGCCTATGATGCTCCATCCCAGTTCTGTTTTTTGAGCAAAAGGCTCATTATCCTTACCAATAATTACTTCTGTTGGAGCTAAAGCAGTGGGGCAATCTTAACCTATCAATAATCCTATGTCACAGCTCTGTAATGGAGGCAACTCATGAGCTATATGCTTAAGATGAGGCCATTGTGTTGCTGTCTTTCTAGTTGGAATATAAGCCTTGTCCACAGGAATAAAGTCACAAGTATAGGCTTGCTGCACTTGAATACATTTTCCTCCCTGGAGTCCTCGAACTTGAAGTCCACTAACCTTATAACCAAAAGTGACTGTATCTGTAGCTGTCATGGTGCTTAGTTTTAGCTTCACTGCTTGGCTGTTTACACGCAGCTCCTCCAGGAAATCCTTTAGGATAAAGGTTGAATCACTCTGTGTGTCGAGCAGGGCATATGTAAGAATTTCATTGTGGGGCTCTTCTACTGTTGAGAGGAACACAGGAACGATGCTAGACGTGGCAAAAGAACTTTGTGTTATTGCATGAGAATTAATTCTTTGAACTTCTTGACTTGTTTGCGCATCTGTAGGAACTGCTTCTGGTCTTTGTGCTTTGACAAGCCATTTGTCTCTATCTACATGTAGGCAAGTTGGATTGCGCAGGCCACATGTACCACAGATGTGTCTTCGTTTACAATTTTTTGTGATATGTCCTTTTCTTAAACACCCAAAACAGAGATGGTTGTAACGAATAAAAGATGTTTTCATATCTGTGGACTTTTCTGCAAAGATGGGGCATTTTGCTATATTGTGCGCTTCATTATTGCAAACAGAGCATGGTGACTTTAACTGGAAGTCCGAGTAATTTGTAATTTTGTAATTTAATTTGTAATTTTCCTCACAGTCATTAAAAATGTCCAACCCTTTACATGAGGAACAGCTTCCACACATCCTTGTAGAAAGTCTGTAAATTCTCTTAACGCCAGAGGATCGTTTGCTCCAATCTTAGGCCACTTCATGAGTCTGTCTCTAAAAGCTCTCAGAACAATGAACGAGTTACCATATCTCTCTTCCAGAACCTTCTAGGCGCCTTGATATGCATCTTCAGAGTTTCTATAAAAAAACCCTCAACAGCCTTGCGGGCTTCTCCAGCAAGATAGGCCTTTAAGTAGAACATTTTCTCACTTGCAGAAATTGACTTGCAATCAATAAGTGCAATAAAGGAAATTTTCCAGTCAATGAATTTTAGTGGATTGCCAGTAAAGGTTGTTGGTTCTGGTGTAGGTAGTCGACTTATGCTCAGAGAGTTTATAAATGCTTGAGTTAGGTTTGCTACCTCTTCAGTTTTCTGCACCTCCTGAAATGCCTGATGTGAATGAAAAGACGGTGCCTCAGGATTTAGCTGGAACTTGCTATCAGCTTCTAGAAGACTGGGTCTAGTAACACTGCTCCTTTCATCCTCACAGTCTTCAAATTCATTATATGCCCTTACACGAGCTGCAGCTACCTTGACTTCCTTATCAACCTTTAGCATCTGCAGCCTCATTCTCTCCTTCTCAAGTCTTTCACTCATTTCTGCTTCAATTTGTTTTATTTCAGCAAACATCTTTGCTTCACTTCGCTTCCAGTCATTTTGTATTTTCTGTAGTTTCGCTTGCTGATCAAATTTCTTTCATTGCATTAGCTTGCTCTACCTTGGCTGCTAGCTCAGCCTCTGCATCAGCTCACTAACTGGAAGTTTTGGAAGAACTTTTTGACTGGCTTTCCAAGCTTGGACATGATTCTGAAATTACAGTTTCAGTATTTGTGCAACCAAAGACAGATGCATGCTCATCCTTGTTGAATATTTGTCTTGTTTTCTCTTTAACAACCACTTCATTATGAATCTCATCACAAGTTTCAATTTGGTTGCTAACTAAATCACAAATTTCTGCAGTTAAGGTGGTGCAAGCGTCTACTTTTCTGACAATTTCTGTGGTTGTAGTACGATTGCGCAGCAAAGGAGAATAACACTGATTAACTAAATCTTGTTTGCTTTGAATATTTCTTTGAATTAGATCAAGATTTTCACGAGTGCATAAAGACTTTAATTTTGACCTACTTTCTTTAGCCATTAGCTTCCAGCAGTCATAAGCTTTGTTAAATGCTTTATGATGCTTCTTTGCTTCCTCATTATGCATCTCCAGGCCCTTTTCTGTTAGACTACCCTTTCGTGAGCTGCGCCTGATTTGCTGATTTTCTGTGGGAACAACTGATAATTCTGCTGGGAGTGACATTTGACTTGCTTGCTCAGCTGTTTGCTTTATTGTGTCTTCCATTTTAGTTTGTCTTTAATTGCAAAGAGCGGCAGTAACCTTTTTGCATCAGACCATCTTTATAATCAGACACTCCAAATAGAAGCGAACAGATATAAAAGGCAAATGTCTAACAACTCTACAGATTAAACATTCAGAAATTTGACAGAATTAGACTTTAAATTGTATAAATGCATTTAAAATGTAATCCAAACAACATCTTAGTGTATATTTTGAGAAAAACATTAATATTGTCAGCCTTTTAGTGATTAATCACAAACTAATTCACTTTTAAATACCTTGAAATGATTTACATACCTTAAATGATTTTAAATACTTTAAATACCTTTAAATACTTTAAATACCTTCAAATACTTTAAATACATTCAAATACTTTAAATACCTTCAAATACCTTTAAAACCCACAATTAAACATCTTAAAGAACTTTAGAAAATTTTAAAGATGCATTAAAGTCTCATTTGTTATAAGAGAGTTTCAACCTATAAAAGTTAAATCACTTAATATTTAAGAGTTCAATTTGTGATTAATGTCACTTATCTTGCTTTAATCCGGAGCCCAAGTCTGTAACTGTAGAAATTACTTTATCTGCTGTCTTCTGGCTTTTAATGCGTGCACAGCACCCAGCGTTGCCCGTCCGATATGCCGACCAGTCTGTTGCACGCGTGATGAAACAGCAGCGTTCTGCGTTGAAAGCCTCCGACGCCACGTCACACACACATGATGAAACAGCAGCGCCTCACAATGAAAGCCTCCGATGCAGCATCAAACACGCGATGAAGCAGCAGCGCGAAGCAATGAAAGCCTCAAATGACGGCGAGTTTTACTGTAGCAGCCCCATGGCATCAAAGAAGGAGGCAGAGAGTTCTCACTGATGCTTGCACAGTGATTTATTTTAACAGCATGAAACACTGCAAAGCTTCACTTGTCACCGTGTTGACAAGAACACCGTAAAACTACACAAACCGAAAAAAAAAAAAACATTGTAAACAAATCACAAGAACATAAAGCATAATATAAGCAGACATTCACAATACAAACAGACATAGTGCACCATTTAAACACGGTGCACAATTCAATAAACAACATCAAGTAGCTGCAAACAATTATACAAACATACCTCGTTCCGCTTTGCCATAAAAGGGGAGCTAAATGGTTCTCATTCGTTTAGCTGCTGGAGTATGCTGCTCATATTTATTTTCAGCGCGAGACAACAAACACCTGTTACACACCAGCCAATGCTGATTATGAGGTGCTGGATGGGGAGCTGCTAAGCCCAAATTACAGGCCGTTGCCCTCTAGTGGTGACTTAAGGATAGGGAGGATGGAGGTCATTACACTAGTGATCCCATATGCTAATATTAGCCTCAGTTACTATAACATATTCAGCTGCTGTGGTGCTTTACATACATTTTCTTAATATGTAGTTCAGTTATACCTCAGAGTGATCGAATGAAAGGGATCTTCATGGTTACAAATGTGACCAACATTCCTTGAAGGAAATAATAAGAGGGAATGGAGATGTTATATCTCATTGCCACAGTAGCTGAATCCCCAGTTGAATGCTAAGCCACACTTGACTCCACATTGATACCCTGAAGTGATGTCGCACATGAGGTTCTTACATATATACTTAAATGTCTGCACCTGTGAGATTGCGTTTGCCAATTCCAAAGGCATTTCATTGGCTGTTTCTCTTGTGGTTTGCTTAGTCTGTCATTCCAACATAATATCTACATTCAAGGGTTACCTCCATAAATGAGAATGTTTCTTACAAGAGCCAATTTGTTACAATGGTTACCTATTCTGTTTGCCTGTCATTTGTTTTGTGTAGTTCACTGTTAATTATTGTAATTTATAAGTTTGGTTTGTGCCTGCATTCTGCTTAAAGTGTATTTATGTTTGCTAAATAAAGACCATTTTTTATTTAATTAATTAAAGTCAATTGTGTTGAATTGCTATCACAACTGAGACTGATTGTGTTTTTGTTGTTGTTTTTTTAGGGTGGCTTATATGTGTTTAAACTGTTCGACTACTACTCAGCCAGTGGAATGTGTCTTCTTTTCCTGGTCTTCTTTGAGACAATCTCCATTGCTTGGTTTTATGGTACTTTTGTTCAATGTTGTCACTGTTTTTGATCTCTAGCTTGGGTGAAAAGGTTTGATTTTTAAAGTTGGATATATTTTCTTTTTTTTTCAGGTGCAGAGAAGTTTTATAAAAATATTGAAGAGATGATTGGTTATAGGCCTTGTGGCTTTTGGAAACAATGCTGGATTTACTTTACTCCAACCATTTGTTTGGTAAGCACTTTATCACACAAACTATATTGATGTCATTTTTTAAACTAAATTAATGATACATTTTTAATCATTCTGGCTTTTCTGTTTTGCAGGGTGTTTTTACGTTCAGTGCCATAGAAATGACTCCGCTGACACTGGGGAAGTATGTGTACCCAGCCTGGGGTCAGGGAGTTGGCTGGCTAATGTCCCTTTCTTCAATGGTACTGATACCCGGTTATATAATCTACATGTTCTTCTCTACCAAAGGCAACATCCGACAGGCAAGGTTTTTCATGGATTTAATTTATACAACCCTAAATCAGAAAAAAGTTGGGACAGAATGGAAAACGCAAAAAAAAAAAAAAAAAAAAAAAAAAAGCTGTGATTTCTAAATTTTCTTTGATTTGTATTTCATTGCAGACAATAAAACAAATATTAATTAATGTGAATCAATGTGTTCTTAACAATTTGTATTGTTTTGTTTAGTTTTTTTAAACACATTTTCCAATTTTGGTTCTTGCAACACATTTCAAAAAAAGTTGGAACAGTAAAACATTTGCCACTTTGTAATGTTGAAATTTTTTAACAACACTTAAAAGACATTTACGGATGGAAGACACCAAATGATAGTGTAATTTGGTCCCATTCTTCCAGCAAACAAGTTTAAGTTGGGAAACAGTACAGGGTCTTAAATTTTTCAATTTTGTACTTCAAAACGTGTCACATTCTCTGTTGGAGACAGGCCTTTCAAGTATCTGTTATACTCTTTAATCCACAGCCAGGACTTTGTAATTTGTTCATGATGTGGTTTTGCATTGTCTTGTTGAATTATGCATGGGTGTCCCTGGAATCGAAGCCAGCATATTGTGCTCCATAATCTCTATGTACGTTTTAGCATTAACGGTGCCATCACAGAGGTGCAATTTACCCTTTCTCTGACACAACCCCATACAATGACAGACCCAGGCTTTTATTGCTTAAACACTTTTTTTAAAATGTGTTGCAAGAACCAAAATTGGAATTGAAAAAGTGTTTGAGAAGAAAATAAATAAATAAATAACGTTCGAGGTTACAGATGTAACCCTTCGTTTGCTGAGGAGGGGAACGGATGTGCTATAAGTGGATTTGATTTGAAAATCCACGTATGGGAGGTTTCGGTTCAGAAGCCGATTGTCTGAAGGAGTATTGAACAGGCCAATAAATGCAATAAATTGGCAGAGTAAGCTTGCACAGGTGTGCTTCATTGCCAATTATCCCAGCATATAAGCACACCTGGAGCGAGCAAACGCCATCCTTTTAAGCTGAAGAGACTTTCAAACAGCTAAGGGACAGTCATTATGGCGACGGAGTATAGCACTGAAGTTCCCCAACCGAAGGGGAACGTTCGAGGTTACAGAAGTAACCCTTCGTTCCCCGAGGATTTGAGTGGATTTGATTTGAAAATCCACGTATGGGAGAAATATGGAAAGCGCCATAATGACTGCACCTTACCAATGCCCCCGATGAGGGGATAGTCAAGCAATCGTGACGCACCCACATCATGGGAGGCGCAGTGTTCCTGGCCCTAATTTATCCTACTTTAACAGAAGTTTTACGGATTCAGATATATTTTTGGGAAGTCGTGAGCGTCTAGATAATTCTAGGATACATTGGGAAGCATGCAATCCCGATAGGGAGGACGCTGCAGAGGCCATCCGCTACCCAAGGGGGGAATAGATGGCAGAATTTACATATGGACTAGCCCTAAGAAGGGGCAGTACGCATAGAAAAAAAAAGTGGTTAGCGAAGAGGGAAGACATGGGTCCACCCAGGGGGGGGGACTTAACCGTGGTGGAATAAGCATATGGGGTCGCCTAGTGGGGATCACGCATAGCAGGCACCTTAACCCAAAACGCAGGCTGACCAGTTGGCAGACCAACAATGTAGTGGGCCAGCAGGTGACTCCACCGCTGAGTCAGTGCTGGGGGCCACGGAGGAATCTGCAGGGCTCACCTGACGGGGAACTTTACTGACAGATAAAAAGGCGCACGTACCTCCGTGTTAGGGAGAATGGCGCAGCAAGCGTGTTTCAACACCCTACCGAGTTGTTTCCTCAATCACCAAAGGGTTACCGAATACCCTTGAGGAAACCAGCTCCACTCGCAGATTGTGAAACCTTGCAAATGTGTTGGGTGTCGCCCAGCCCGCAGCTCTACAAATGTTTGTTAGAGAGGCGGCGCATGCGTGCGCCTGAGAGGATGCGAAGCTCCGAGTGGAGTGCACACGCACTCTCGGGGGACGCGGCTCACCTTGGCTCTGATAAGTGAGAGAATTATGGAACAAAATCAATGCCAAACGTCTTGAATTAAAAAGCTTGTTGAATATCACAAACTGAAACTGAAAAAAAAAAATACACCGTATTTACAAGTTCTTGCATTTTAATGACTTGAATTCCAGGGTTTGTATTTTTAGGTCCTGAAATTTAACATATCTGTTTATTTAAGCTGTGAATTTTTCAACGAAAAATATTTCAAACACGTTTTCATACTTAAAAATTTATGAATGAATGGAAGCGAATTTATGGAAGCGAATATTTGAACTGAAATAAAATTAACTGAAAATGACCTTTTGAATATTATACATCGTATTTTTAAAGGGTATTGAATATTTTGTAAGTGAAATCTGAAAATTGAATATGAATTCTAGAATTTTTAAGAATGGCATCCACAATCCAGTGGGAAAACTTATTTCGGTACGGCACTTCCCTGCTGCCGACCACCATAACAGACGAAGAGCTGCTCAGATGATCTAAACTCTGAGTGCGGTTCGGATAATACGCAAGACGCGAACTGGACAATAAAGAAAGGGCTGGGTCTGCCTCCTCTGAGGGCAGCGCTTGCAGGCTCACTACCTGGTATTAAAACGGAGTGGTAGGAACCTTGGGCACATATCGCAGGCGGGGTCTCAGGACGTGAGAGAAAGCCAGCCCAATTACAGGCACGAGTCACTGACCGAAAAAATGCCTCCGGGTCCCCGACCCTCTAATCAATATCAACGCGACCAGCAGAGCTGTCTTCAGGGACAGAAAGATACTGAGTCAAGGATCGAAGGGATCTGACGCGGCTCGTGTAACGAGGGCGAGATCCTAACAGGGCATGAGAGGGGGCGGGGTGGATTAATTCACTTAGCGCCCCTGAGGAACCGGATGATGAGGTTGTGCGTTCCCACGGTGCTGCCAGCCACCGCGTCATGAGAGCGGAGATGGCAGCCACGTAATCTTGAGTGTGGAGGGCGACAGCCTGCTCTCCAGCTTCTCTCAGCGTAAAGAAAGCACAACGCTGATCTGGCAAATTACGGGGGTCATCTCTGCGAGAGACGCACCATTCAGTGGATAGACTCCACTTCAGGGCATAGGCGTGCTCGGGGAGGGGGCTCTAGCCCGAGTGACAGTAATAGCCACTGCAATTGGAGGTTACCTAAGTCTTCCTTGCGTCTAAGGACCTCCAAAGATCGGCGAGGGTGCCAGATGGTGCCCTGTCCCTGAGAGAGTAGGTGCTCTCTCGAAGGGAACTGCCAGGGGAGGCCTATCGCGAGGAGGGAGAGCCAGCAACCTGTTCCTCGTCGCGGTGCAGCCGCGGTGCAGCTCTCGTAGGCGGGCGCCTTCGGCGAGGAGCAGGAATGAATGGCACGGCGGGCGGAGCGGCTACAGACTGCCGATAAGACATCACCCATCAACTGCCTCGAATTCCTGGGTGAATTCACAGACGGTGTCGCCGAACATGGCTTGGGATTTGGGGAAGTCAAGAAAGCGGACTTTGTCGACTTCGCGCATATCAGCCAGGGGTGGCGTTCCTGGATCACTAATGTGGACATCGTCCTCCCCAACGCACAAGCAGCGGACTCAGTAGTCCGAAGAGCTAAGTCGGCGACGGTGCGAAGCTCGTAAGCCTGGGTTGGACCCACCCTCGTGCAGCTCGGCCAGCGCCTGCCTTGTAAGCTCTAGCTCCGAGGGAGGCAGATAACTTATAGGCTTTGGATGGGAGACGAGGCGGACCCCGCCAAGGAGAGGCACCGCGCGGATTGAACGCCATCGCGCACTCAACCTGAGGAATCGCCAAATACCCCCTGGCCGTTCCACCATCAAGAGTGGTGAGGGTGGAGGGACACGCAGCACGAGCAAAAAAAAGTGCCCTTCAAGACCGCGTGAGCCTACTGTGCACCTCCGGGAAGACGGGAATGCCCCTCTAGTCAGTCCGGCCGCGGAGCTGGGGGATAAACCATCTCCAACCCACGGCCGAAGCAGCCCGGGAAAGCCCGGCTAACATGTCCGTTTCAGGATCCGTTGTGACAGCGCTTACCTGCCCGGAGGGGGCGAGCGGGTCTGGATCATCATCGGACAATAAAAGCCCACCCTCCGATGCCGCGGTGGACGTCTGGTCTCCGGTGTCATCGGGCGTAAGGGCTACCATCTGTTAGACGGATCGCTTCCCCCGTCCGAAGATTGTATGGAGCGCTTAGAGGAGCGGGAGGTCCGCGGGCCCATGGACGATGGATTATCTCTCGTTGAACCCTCAGATCTGCCCGAGTGCCCGCTGCAATGCAGGGGACAACTGGGGTGGTTTGCCCTTTTGCAAAGGCTAGCGGCAATCTTCACTACGCAACAGTCATGGCATCGCAATGACGACATGAACTGCCTGCGAGCAGCGCATTAACATACTGGACCCCCCAGGCATGCAACGCAGTGCCCGTGCCTGATCATCCGAGGACAGGAAACTACCACATCCATAAACGCACAGTCGGAGCGTCTTCCTAAAAAGGACGTGCTGCACGACTGTGTTGCTCTCTTTGTGAAGTTGCAACTTTATACGCACCGCTCTGGAGGACCGGACCCAAAGAACGCCAGGCAAGGGAGAAACCCAGCTCGACCGTCTGCCGCTGCGTGTACACACCCTGGACCGGGAGAATGCTCTTGTTTGCTCGGAATCGCTGGATCACAGCAGGAGGAACCCTCATCGACTCGATCAGAAAGTCTCTGAAGCGAAAAGGATGGCGTTTGCTCGCTCCAGGTGTGCTTATATGCTTGGATAATTGGCAATGAAGCACATCTTTGCAAGCTTACGCTGCCAATTCATTGCATTCATTGGCCCGTTCAATACTCTTTCAGACAAGCTGCTTCTGAACCGAAACCTCCCATACGTGGATTTTCAAATCAAATCCACTTATAGCACTGAAGTTCCCCAACCGAAGGGGAACAACTTATACATTACATAGTGTTTGTTGTAATGTCTACAATGAAGTACACGTAAGTTAAAGTAAATTTGGAAATTACAACTACTTTCTTTTTTTATTTGTATATTCCATACTGTCCCAACATCTACTGAGTTGTTTTACATTTGAGGTTGTATGTTTAAACAATGAGCACTTTTGTTTCATACCTTCATCGTTTCAAATTTGCAAACAGCTTCCAAATGTGCTTTCCTGAATGTTAACCTCTAACCATCCCTTCTTAATTCACATTTTCATAATTGGAAGCTAGTGTGGACTTCCTTCTCATCTGCATTCCTTCCATCTTCCATCCCTTCAAAAGTCCTTCATTGAACTAGCAATGTTCTGTCTGAAGGTCTTTTTTCTTAAACGTTTATGTTTTATTTGTTTCTTTTACTTTTGAATTTATTTATTTATCTTTTAACCGCCTCCCTCCCAAATCCTAATATTTTCTTCTTAATTTCTAAAAAAAAAAACATTTAAAGTAACTTAAACAACTTGCATAATTCCTTTAATTACTTTTTCCAAACAAACATTTAAACTTTCAAATGTGCTTAATTCATTAAATCAGATTAGGTAACATTCAACTTTATTGTTATTACACATGTACAAGTACAATGCAACGAATTGCAGTTTAGGTCTAACAAGCAGTGCAATAGCACCAAGTGCAGGATACAGGTATAAGTTATAAAGTGCAGTTATAGAAAAACTATGGTGACATTTACAGATGGATGTACTATCAACATTATATGCAGGTTGTAAACTCCAATGCCACTTGATTTATTCCAAACAGACTTGCAAACTGCTGAATATTAAAATGCAATTCCTTTCCTTCTTTCAAACTTCTAAATGACCTTTGGAATGCTTTCATTTTGAAGTTGCAGTTAATTTGAAATTATAAATATATATAATATAAAACTTGCTACAATGTATCCAACTTTATAATTCATTGGTAAATGTAGGGTCCAGCCAGTTGGTCCAATGACGGTATCCAATGGTGGATGAAGGTTCACTGCATGTTCGGTCTTTCCAGTGCACAATGTTGATTTATATTAAACTTAACTCATATCTGACTCCAATTTTAGTATGAGATGGTTTAGAATATTAATATGTTTATCCTCGTTTTATCTGACTCCAATTATAAAACATTGAGAAGATTATTTTGTTTCCTTTCACATTATTTTAGATTATGATTGAATATTCTTTTGATTTGTTATTATACCTTATTCTCATTTACTCAGATTCCTATAGCATCTCGAGTCTTGCACCGGCCGGGTATACAATCTCTTAATACAAGCTTGTCAGTCTTGGTCATTAAACAGAGGCGATTAACCACTCTCCTAAAAAGGCAGAACACTACTTACTCAATTTAGGAGATTTTTATGTGGTCCCCATAGATCTGTTATCTACTTAATCAAGACAAAATATTTTAATAATAATCGCGCAGGATTATACTATTGTAGATGAAGGCCTAAATATCCACATTTAAAGTAGTTTCAACAATATTTTGTTGTTCTAAATAGTTGGCCTTTTACAGTCCAAGTATACATGAAATAATGCCAATTTGTTAGTCTGATCTCTAACAACATTGAATAGCGTGCCACGCTGCTCCGTCTAACATGTTTTAGTCCGTTACTAACCTGTACAGTGGCTTGTAGTGCTATGGACAACAACATTTATCAGTGATAATAACACAAACTCTGTTTGAATCATTCAAAACATAACAATTTATTAGTCAGGTAAATGTATTATGCCAATTCAATCAGTCAATTCATAAACGATCAATACAAAACATCAAATTATCAAAGATAACTCCAAGATGAAAAAGATGCATTCCTGACTTTAAAATATACATAACATGGAGCTAGCCATGTTATGGGCTGATCTGGTTAGGCAGAATCGCCCTGAGTTTTTCTCAACCCTTAAATTAAATAATCCAAAAATTCCCTCAAGGAAGGGGGTGTGAATGTATAACAAAAGGCATTCACACTTAGTGTCACACCCCTCACAGTGGTTCAAAAGATGCCTGAAGTTATATATTTATTGTTCTGATTATGTCTATTTCTGAGAGAATGAGACCATTGTACCAATCGCACTGAGACATTTCAAATGATATCAAACATGATGGTTAAAGTCAGTTTGGTTAATTTAAAACATTCAAACATTGAAATGACCATATGCGTGAGTTGGGGGATGAAGCTGAGTCTCAGCATAGCCAGATGCAAATGCAGCAGGAACTGGTTTTTCCCGCATTCCTCCCTGGTGGGTTGTGAAGTCACCAGTCTCTGTTTTCAGCTCATGTTTTGAATTGTCAAAGATATCAGAATATTTGTAATATTTCAATTCTTACAGTAAATTACATTAATTATACTGGTTTCTGTTTTTTTTTTTCTTTTCAGCGGTGGCACAAGATGACTAAACCTACCGAGCTCACAACCTCAGATGTCAATGATCTCACACATACAGGGATTATGGATGAAGCTTCTGTCTGACATCACTCTTTCCTGTTAAATGACCTTTAAATACCAATTGCAAAACAATACCCCTCTATTTATTTTTTTTAAATCAAAGAGTACACTGAAATGGGCTATGTGTTTGTAAGTCTGTTTTCCTAATTTCTTTCTGCACATTCATTCCTGTAATAAGAGTGGGCTGCAGTACATTTGTGGATAAATTAATTGCATCTAAACAAATTGTTACATTCCTGTGTTATTTTCACAGAAATTCTGTTTCTCACAGAATTTAGACCAGGATGAGGAATAAAGGCTTTTCTTTAGACTATTACTCTCAGTTTGAGCAAATGTGATATATTGCAGTGGCTTATTTGAAGGCCACACATGTTTATTCTTTGTACAACATATAAAACTAAATGAAACCCATTATCCATCTAATTTTTGAAAAAAAAAAAAAAAAAAAAAGCTGGAAATAAGACTGAAAATTAGTTTTCTCTGATTTATGGGCAAAGTTACAATATTTTAGGAAGCTTGGGTGCTTTTTTTGCAAATTAACAGTACTTGGGTTAGTTTTTTTTTTTTTTCAAATTACATTAAGATGCTGTTATGTAGCAGGTTATCTGCATAAGGTTAAGTGTGGATTTAAGGTTAGGAATTAGGTTTTTGTTTCTAATACTTTACTGTTCTTTTTGTTTTTTGGCCTCATTCTTTTTGGTTTAAATACATTTTTTTTCTCTTATCTTCTTGTGCACTGCTCAGTTATAAATTTATCCTAGGGCACACTGACAATGGCCAAGCCTAAAGAGAGTTCCAGCACTTGTGTCATATCATGGAACATTAAAGAGTCGAATAATAGTTAAAAAAAAATTTGTTGTCTAACCTCCAATGGATGATGTTTTTTTTTCTTCTTTTTTTAAGAGACCCACCTAAGAAAAAGTGATATTCAGAGACATAAAAAAATATAAGTGTCCCATCTGTATCACTCCAAGACTGTGTTTGAAACAACGTACTACCCTAAAATTAGGTATGCAAAAAGCAGTAGGCCAGCGATTAAGTACTGTATGTTTGATGACAAAACACAACAATGTGCTGGAGATGTGCCTTGGACAGGATTCTGAATCCCTCCATTTGGCAGTGTGATTTTATATTCATTCATTCATTTCACTTAGACTTAGTCCCTTTATTCATCAGGGGTTGCCACAGCGGAATGAACCGCCAACTTATCTAGCATATGTTTTACACAGCGGATGCCTTTACAGTTGCAACCCAGTACTTAAAAACATCCATACATATTCATTCACACACGGCCAATTTAGTTTATTCAATTCACCTATAGCGCATGTTTTTGAACTGGGGGGAAAACCGGAGGACCTGAAGGAAATCAACGCAAACACGAGTAGAACATGCTAACTCCTCACAGAAATGCCAACTGACCCAGCCTGGACTCAAACAAACGACCATCCTGCTGTTTCACCATTGAGGCACCGTGTTGCCCATGTTAGGAATAGTAAAGCATACAGGGTTTTTCTCAAATAACAGTTAAAGCTCTAAATAATTTAAATTGCACATATAAATGTAATACATATTTAGATTAAGCACTTAAGCAGCAATATGTATAATAGTGAATCTTGGTGTCTTAAACAAATAATTTGCCAAAATTAACACAAAAACAATAATATTGATTAATACTTCAGTATCAAAGATTTAAACATTTATAGTGGCATATAAAGCATTTACCACTATCTAAAATAGCATCAAGAGTTCACCCTTAGCTGATGATTGATTATAGAGCTTGATTGGCATGCTGTCCCGGGAGAGAGCCCCAAACTCATGAGATCCTCGAGCCCGGGGCCTCCCCGAGAGGGAAGTCCGAGTTCAGGTAAGGTCTCGAGTACTCCCCTGCTTGATCATGTTGGAAGTAGATTAAAATGCTATGAAGTGTCTATGCTGTCAATTTACTTATGTTATATGTTTTTGGTCTGTCGGAGGAAAACCAGAGAGACCGGTGAAAACCCACACAGACACGAGGAGAACATGCAAACTCCGCACAGAAACGCCGACCCGGCAAGGTAGAGTTTGAGCTGCTGGCATTCTTGATGTGCGGCCGTGGTGCTAACCACTTGGCCTCCGTGCTGCCCTGACAAGGAAATGGGAGGAGTTGGGGTGGAAGGAGGGATTCTTCAAGACGAAGATGGTTGAGGTAAGATACACTGGTTATTTATAGTGGTTAAGGAGTCGTCTGATTGGTAAATCAGTGTTAGGTAATGTGGACCAGGGGTCCGTTCTTCGTACCTCGCTTGAATGATCTAAGATTATTTGGCAGATCCTGGATCTTTTAATCTTGATAACTGATCTCTCGCTAATTTGGTTCTTCAAACAAGTTCGCGAATCAGATTAGAATGTCTGGATAAACTGATCTGAGATCACTGCGTGTGTTGTGAAGGACAGATCTATCGATCCTTGAAATCATGATCAGCAATGCAACGATTGGCTGACGGCACAGCAGCGTAATGACATCATCTGATTATTATTCAATTATCCATGTGAGCAAAATTACATCAAATTAGCAGTAAACGGTTTGTTAAATATGACACGCAATAACCTTCCACATTTGTTGTGAGCTGCAGGCTGTATTTCAATGCAAATCAATGTATTTAGTTCTACATTTAGAAAAGATTTTCTTTAATATAGTAGCCGTTTTTTTTAATCGGTGTAAAGAATAACTGGTTGTTTACAAAAGCATTTTGATATTGGTAAAGGCGTCTGCAACTTTTGTGAAGCATCAAATCACGGGCATATTAACTATCAAAACATGTTTATGACTGCATAAATGTATTATTGCTTTAAAAAAAAGTCACATATTGTGCATTTCTATTGTACACAATTTGTACTAAAGCGATCTAAAAAGTTCATATCAATAAGTTTTCTCTGTGCACCACCAGGTGGCAGTCTTTGTACTTTCATTTCGAAGGGTCAGATTGCATAAGTTTTATTAATATGTATAACTTTATTTATTTTATTAATAACTATAACTTTATATATTTACCATTTTCCCAAGTGTATATAACTACTACTGTAAGAAAATATCAGAATTCGGAACATACTTTCTGTATTATCTTTGCTTGAACTAAGCCGATCTAATCCTGTTTATATGAATTGAACCTGCTCCCGATCAGGTTTGACCTAGAAGAACTGTTGCTATGACAACAACTCTCGGATCAGCTTTGAAGAACGAAACGATCCTGGATCGTGTCAAATCGTCAATATCCAAATCCAGCTAACTGAGTAATCCACGTACGAAGAACGTACCCCAGGTGCTATCAATCATAAGCACGTGCTCCTCTCGAAATTAGTTTATAAATAAACTTCACTTCAAGAGTTCGCCCTTAGCTGATGATTGATTATAAAGCTTGTTTGGCATGCTGTCCCTGGAGAGAGCCCTGAACTTGTGAGATCCTCCTGTTGCAGGGCGAGAGGAAAGTCCGAGTTTAGGTAGGTCTCGAGTACTCCCCTAAACGCCTATCGTTCATAACAGCAGCCACGGAATTGAAGAACCCCCCACAAGGCAAGAGATCGCTGCCATATCCGGCTGCTGGATATAACATAGAGAAAGGTGAAATTTAAGAAGAATTATATATATATATATATATCCCTGTTGTGGTCGACGTGTTAAACATGCAAAGAAATATGGATAAGACCAAGGAAGCACTTTTTGAAGGCAAGTTTTAGTATAAAACAATAAATGTCGCATTACCAGGCTATCCAGCGTTTCCTCCAGAGTTTCGTGCAATTTCAGGTGTTTCATTTTTAACGGTTTTAATGGAATTTGATACTGCGTGGCGAACCGAAAGAAAAACCTCCGCATTTCTTGACTTGGTGGCCCTAAAAAAATTGCTGCTTATATGATAGACTCTTAATAAGAGTATTATCTCAATCATATTAAAATCAGAGTATTGGTGTCCATGTAAATGTACTCAAAAATTGCCGGATGAAGTCGCGAGCTGTCAAAGACAGCGCATTCCTCTGCCTTTCAGCATGCGCCACTCTAATGTTTCATTAAGTTTAATGTGTTTCCCCCTTAAACAAAACCTTTGTAAAGCATCTGCTTCGCGTTGATGTGTGTTGTATACTTTAGAACTCTTAGTTTAAGCAAATTTGATGAATGCAATCATAAGTGTTGAATCTGAAGCGAGTCGCTCCGGCTGCACTGTCCTGAGCGTTTTGTGTGTCTGTGTGTGCGCACTTTGGTGTGACACAACGCATACCTGTGTGTACCTTTGATGAACCGCTTGATGCTTCTTACGTCCTTGTCGCAGCACCAGTGGCATAATGTCAACAGACTGGACTGTCTTAGCAACTGGCTGAATGTAAAGGACTAAGCAAAACTGTTTCTGCTTTATAATTAATGTTCTCAACTCACAGCAATACAACATTTCAATGAGTACAATTGTTTTTAATCAATACTTTATTATTATTATTATTATTATAACTTTCTATATTTGCGATGCCTGTATTTTGTCTTTTTTTTTTGCAGTCCACTTAGAATCCAACATGCAAATATTTTTTTTTTCTTTATTGGCATTGATTGTTTTAAAATTCAAATGGCACTTACAAATTCAAATGTTTTTATTTATGTAATAAATATGGCTGTCAAACCAGGATCTTAATGATTTATTGTATGTTCTGTGTTAAAAAGTTAAACAAAAGTTATAATGAACAATTATTTTTTTAATTTAAATTGTTTTTTTCTTGTGTTTACATTTGAATAGCCAAAATTACAAGTTTCAGTCTTTTAAATGTGATTAATAGCAAAAAACTGTTTGATTAGTTCATTTTTTAATTGATTGACAGCATATATATATATATATATATATATATATATATATATATATATATATATATATATATATATATATATATATATATATATATATATATATATATATATATATATATATATATATATATATATATATATATATATATATATATATATATATATATATATAGTTGAAGTCAGAATTATTAGTCCCATTCAAATTTTTTTTTCTTCTTTTTTAAATATTTTCTAAATGATGTTTAACGTTCATTTTCTTGTCAGCTTAGTCCCTTTATTAATTCGAGGTCGCCACAGCGGAATGAACCACCAACTTATTCAGCAAGTTTTTACGCAGCGGATGCCATTCCAGCTGATTTCTGGGAAACATCCACACATACACACTACGGACAATTTAGCCTACCCAATTAGCCTGTACCACATGTTTTTGGACTGTGGGGGAAACCGGAGCACCTGGAGGAAACCCACGCGAAGGCAATACACAAAAAAACGAGATCAAAGAAAAAAGCGCTCTCTCCTGCTCTTCCTGACATGGTTTTAATATTCCCGCTCTACGTCGCCATATGATGATAGATCGGTCTCCTGACCA